CAGCTTACATAAAATGGTATACCCTCTCTGCAGACTCCCCTGCAACACAGACCACACAGTTGTGCATAAAAACACAAATGCATATAACTTGATCAAAAGCTGGAGACTGATGATGGGGAAATGGCAGGAGAAGCTGAAGCTGTACTACAATTAGAAGGGAAACTGATGGCACCAACAAGCACAAAGGAAATGCACCGTTTTCACCACCAACTACACAGACATGAGCACTCGCATTAAACTAAAACAGCTGTCAGAATAAAATCAACTCATCATGAGAAGAAATTAAGAAAACAGGGATTTTTTTTTTTTAATCCAGTCAGTGTGACATTGCAACAGTGCATGACTCATGGTGTTAAAGACAGATTTCTCTTGAATTCCCGAAAAAAAAAAAAAAAAAAAAGTGAACAACCCTGTGGTCTAAACTAAGCTGGACTATGGTGACTTCAGTACAGATAAAAATACTGAATAAAGATGCAAATATAAAGTGTCAGATAGGAACTGATGAATCAGAACAACAGGCAATTGACCAGCAGGATGTCAGCGAGACAGACGCAGAGCCATCAGCTGGAGCACACTCACAAACACACAGATCAAAGCTCTGCTGCCCGAGTGTGTAAATATTAGCTCGTCCTGGCTGCTGGATGGCCGGTCCTTTTGATAAATGGTCAGAGTGTCTGTGCGACTGAGCACGTACCACATTGTCTAGAAGTAATCAGAGCCCTGACTTGTCATTCTGAAATAAATGTGTTCATCGCAAAGAGGTTCTGTAATACTGTAGGCAGCATTTTCTGACCTTTTTACCTTTAACCGATGCATTTCTTACCACCAAACTCTAATGTCTGATGTGCTTAGCTGCAGACTTTTAAACCCCTCCAGTGTGCAAGTACTTCTCATCCCAGGCAACTGCAATGGTCGTCTTGGAAACCATTTCAAAAGCGCCCTTTATTAAGACTCGACTCAGCAACAAAGCTCTTACTCACCCGATCTGCACACACGCACACACACAATGAGGGAGGGTTAACCCAGGGCAACGCAACATGCATTCCATGACAGGAGACAGACTCCTAAGTCGCCCCACCACCCCCACAGATGATAGGGGGGAAGAAAAAAACCAACAAAAAAAAAAAAAAACCCTCCACACTACACTGTCCCCTTCCCTCTGCTGAGCCCCAGTCTGTGGTCGAAGCAGAAACTCTGAGGGTGTAATATGACCCTGCCTTTATAAACAGAGAGAACGAGAGAACGAGAAAAGGAGAGGGAGCAAGTGAGAAACTTGAACGAGAGGCTGAATGTGAACAAGAGGAGGGGAGGAGACGTGGTGCCAGGACGGAGAGCATGAGTTCAAATGAAACGAGTACCTCAAATTTAGCAATTTTCTACTCTTCTTTTGTGAATACTCTCTAGTCCTACTACTCAGCACGCTCTCTGCACAGTTCAGGCATCAGCGTCAGAAAGCAGGACTGCACATCTGGCTCTACAGGGCTGTGAATGCGTACTACAGTACAGGTATGCTGGCAACCACTTCTAGGTCAAACCAAAGTCAGTGAGCCTGTCAGATTAACAAGGAATGTGGACACTCACTCACATACACAAACCTGAAACTCATTCTCACTGCTTGTCTGTCTAGTTTACCCCCAACCTTGAATTCGGAAGTGGAATAAAACTGTGTTGCTTTCTTCAAGTTTATTATTTGTTGTATATCACTGTAAATGTTAAAACAAGTAGTAGGCTTTGATAGATTAAAGGGAAATTCCAATGAATTTCCCACTAAAGTGGCTGTTGTGGCTCACAGTGTCATGCAGATCCCTGTAGTGTCTACAGAGATTTGGGGAAATGAAGAGTTTCTGGGGAAAACCATAAGATGACCTTAACACCAGTGTATTCATTAGTAAACAGCAGTTTGTTTCACTCATAATTCTCTGAAGAAACCAGATCTTAGACACGCAGTTAAAATCAAACAGAAAACAAGATGCAGATGACCGGAGGCTGAGACTCAAAGACAACAGGACACTCACGAAAAACAATAAACTAAAATGACTTCACTAAGGAAGTCATTTTAGGAAACTGGTGCTGCTGCTCTCACATTGTTCTTATTGATACCAAATGTGGTGGATCTACAGATAGGAACACAACCAGATGGAAATCTACAAATAATTAACCTGCCACTTTGTTAAAAAATACCAGCTGGACATGGTGTTTCACCTTCACACAAAAAAACAAAAGCTCCTGCTCAGCTTCTCACGGTCTAAATAAAAGCATTTACAACTAAACCTACACTATTAAAACACCACACTCAAATTCAGCGAGCTCTTAAGAACCACCCATTCTTTCACAAATGTTTGTAAAGCCAGACTGCATGACTTGGGTGATTGAATTTATACACCTGTGGCAACGAAACTGAAAACACCTGAATTCAAAGACTGAGGTGTGGCCTAATACTTTTGTCCTTGTAGTGTATGGTTTGGCTCTTTTTTCTCTTGCTTGAATGGAAAGCAGTGATTAGCCAGCAGGTTGGCCAAGTTTTCTGTGACCCCTCATTTCTAAGAATCTCTACTGAAGATCAAACGTCATCCAACACCAAAAGTCACAGCTGCCACATTACTGTAACTCCATCAGCTTAATATAAAAATCATTAGCTGCAGCTCTTTGTGACAAACATTCTTCCAAGGGAAAAAACAAGCAAACATCTCACTGCCATCAAGTGTTTAGTTTTATTACATTTAGGAGAACTCTCAGATTTGGGCACCATAAAACTTTTTTTTAAACAACTTACAACTTTAGCTCAGGGGTCGGCAATTAATTCGCCCAAGGGGCCACATGAGAAACTGGGATGTTGTAGAGGACTGCACCAAAAAGCTGACCTCAATATTAATTTTATCTCTTTATTAGCTTATTGGTCCAGCCCTCTAAAACAGTGTCTCGTGTAACTACCTGGGAAAGTTAACCAGCTTTAGGTGGTCCTGAGCCACAGGCTGAAGTTCTAATGCAATGTAGGTAAATGTTCTCCAGCAGCTGGAATCTTGTTAAAAGGCAGGGTGATGGCAGGTTAGTTTTGCTAGATACAGACATTTCGCCGTGGACTGGAGTTATTTTTGCCTCCCCCCACTGTCTGTTTCACACTCCCTTGTCTTCACTGCTGCCGTTTATCTCCATCTCACCATTCCCCCCTCGATCCATCCCTCTCTGCAGTGCAAGTGCCTGGTACCACCAGTCTCTCTCTCTCTCTCCTCCCATCTGAATGTGAAAGAGTCGATTCTCCAGCATAATGCACACACAGCCGGCAGCCTCC